TATTATATCTTTTTTTTTTTTCATGCTGTTCAGCATCCTTACCATCATTACCCTGAACTCTGTTTCAGATAAATTTCTTATCTCTGCTTGACTCATCTCTTCTTCTGGATAATTCTCTTTTTCTTTCATTTGAGGGTGGCTTCTTTGTTTCCTCATTTTAGCTGTCTGTTTGAATTTGTGACTATGTATTAGGTAGACCCTCTACACCTCTCAATCTCTAGTGCAGGACAGTGTCAAACGCTATTTCTAATTAGATCAGGCAAAGACCCAAGGCCTCCAGAGACTGCCTCTGCCTACAGACTAATAGGATTCCGACTTGAATGGCTACAGGAAATTGTCCTCATGTGTGGTGAGTGTTTTTTTCGACAGGGTGGGGTGGTTACTTCTTCCTGGAGGCTAAATATTATTTATAGTCTTTGAAGTGGCCTCAGAGCAAGGTGTTTTCCATTAGGGTGTGTTGACTATCTTCACCTCAGGCAAGGCAAATGTCTATATGGGATGATGTTCTCCACTGTGTGAGGGAATAACTCAGTCCATGAAACTTGGGGTGTCTGCTTTCTGAGCTCTATCCCCCAAGCCTCCAGTCCTGGATTCTGCTCTCACAGCTCCAGTCCACTTCACCCACCCTCTGCCAGGGCACAAAGTGGGTGGCTCCACAGGGAATTTTGTGCATTGGTCCTTTAAGAGGGTGCCTGAATTCCAGCCCTCCTTCCCTGGCAGACAACAACTCCATTGCTTTTCACAGCCAGACATTATGTGGGTATCCTTCTGAGTTCTGGTGTTCTATGCTGAGGGGGGGGGGGGGGCAGCTTGGGGATTAGATCCCAGAGTTCTCAGTGGCAACCCCTCACAGCTGAGATATCTCTCCAGGACTTCAGTTGCTCTCTGTGGGCACCTGGCCAGCACTTTCGAGTCTCTGCCCCTTTTACCCGTCTCTATGTGGTCTCCACTTTGGGTCCTTAGGTATCAGGGTTCTTCTCGGTGAGTTTTCTGCTAATTATTCAGGAAGTTTTCCTGTGTTTTAGTTGTAATTCCAGTTTGTTCCTGGGAGCATGTCCGTGCAGCATTCACTTACTCTGCCGCCATTTTTAATCTTCCTGGTCTTATTTTCAAAGAGTGAAGAACAGAGACTCACCAAATTTGCTTAGCAATGAGTGTCCCTGAAAATGCGCCTTACGACAGGAAATGGTTAAGTAATGAATTCAGCAATGACTTGCCTTGGTGATGTGATTTTAAGGGAAACAGAAAGAAACATGCTTTTGAGAGAAATAGGGCCAGGCGTGTGATTTTCCAAATGCTTTAAAGAGTTCTGGGTTCACCCAGCCGGCGTGGCTCAGTGGTTGAGCATCGACCTATGAACCAGGGGGTCAAGGTTCAATTCCTGGTCAGGGCATATGCCCAGGTTGCAGGCTTGATCCCCAGTGTGGGGCGTGCAGGAGGCAGCCAATCAAAGATTCTCTCTCATCATTGATATTTCTATCTCTCCCTTCCTTTATGAAATCAATAAAAAAAATATTTTTAAAAAAGTTGTGGTTTCACCAAGATTTACTTATAAGCTGCCCACGGAGCTGCAGTCCCAGCTTCCTGCTCTGGGCCTCCCTGCAAAGCCCAAAGGACCTCTGGCACTGAAAACACTCCTGACAAGGCCCGGAACCTAACACAACTCTCCCTTATGATGACAGGACAGAACCTGCTGGAAGGCAGGCGGGCAAGAGAAGGTGAGCAGATGAGGGAGTTTCTCCTCCTCTCCTGCCAAGCAAAAGCCAGGCCCGGAGTTGAACTATTTTTGTGGGCAGACAAGGACAACGTGCATGCCATTATCTGGTTCCCTTCAAGTCCCTAAGGGATCCTGACAGTTGTTTTGGATGATATTTTGAAGAAAAAAAAAAAAAAAAGTAGGGAGGAAGATGACTAATCTTCCCCAGAATTTTTGTCCTTAGCAGTTTTCTAGAAATATTCAGGTTGCTAAATGGAATAGAACAATGATCCTAATATATAAAAACCCTGGGTCTTAATGGCCAGTAATGACCAGAGGCTGACCAACTGGTAGTCAGTGCTGGTCCTGCCTCCAAGCAAGCAGTAGGGGAAATCAGGCAGGCAGGCAGAGGGGTTAGGGGTGATCAGGTAGGCAGACCAGTAGTTAGGGCTGATCAGGTAGGCAGAAGGCCCCTTGCAGGGCTGGCCCCGCCCCCAGCAAAGAAAGAGGGAGGCCCAGGCCAGCCAAGCCATTGCATCCCAGCCTGTGGCCTGCAGAGGGAGGCCACTGGCAGCAGGGGAGGGTGGGAGAGTGGGGGTGGGGGCCAGCTGCCTGCAGCCGGGGGAAGGAAAGCCCCGATAGGCCCTGATCTCAGCCAGGTCAAGAACGCCTACCCGAGGGGCCCTGGATTGTGAGAGGATACAGGCTGGGTTGAGGAACCCCTCCTCCTCAGAGCATGAATTTTCATGCACTGGGCCTCTAGTATATTTATAAAGGAGCAGTGTTAAAAAAAGGAAAAAGTAGCAGCGTAGCACTAGAACCGGGATATCAGCTTCCTAAGGATTGAAAGAGAGAATGGAACAAAGTCCTTAGAAAAGTGCTACTGTTGTAACGGCAATGAAACCACACGGGTGTTCTGTTTGATCCTGATAAGGTTTCCCTTTGGAGATCACATAGTAAAGCTACTGCATTATGGGTAGGGGCAGCATCTCCCTCAAAGGGAAGACACTGCATATTAAATGTCCAGGGAAGGGATGTATCCTCAGTTTGGAAGCTGGGTCTAGAGCTCAAGGAATCAAGGTATGCTGAAGGCCACTCCTGCTGGGTAAGGCTTAAGAAATGCAAGGTGGGAACCAAGAAGGGGCCACAAAGTGAAAATGGTGAACTCCATCATCTAAAGCAGACCATGTCATTATCTGAAATAATTCACTGTTTTATTTTATTTTTTTAAATATATTTTATTGATTTTTTTACAGAGAGAAAGGGAGAGAGACAGAAAGCTAGAAACATCATGAGAGAGAAACATCGTTCAGCTGCCTCGTGCACACCCCCCATGGGGATGTGCCCGCAACCAAGGTACATGCCCTTGACCAGAATTGAACCTGGGACCCTTCAGTCCGAAGGCCGACACTCCACCCACTGAGCCAAACCAGCCAGGGCAATTCACTGTTTTAACTTGTTAGTTCCACCTTCTTGCGTCTATAAAATCTTCCATTTTGTAAACTCATCAGAGCTTCCTTCTAGTTGCTAGATGGGACGTTGCTGGATTCATGAACTGTTTAATAAAACCAATGAGATCTTCAAATTTACTCGGCTGAGTAAATGTTTTTAACAAAACGAAGTCATTACAGGTCTATGTATGAGGCTGTATAACGTGAATACAGGACGACAGGGAGAGAGGTTGTTGACAGGGAAAGCTTCAAATAACCCCTGACCTTCAGGAGGTCACTGACAATCAGGAGGGAACTATGGGTGTGACTGTGGGATTTTGACGGTTGGGAGAGGAGAGAGAAGGGAAAGGCATTCCAGAAAAAGGGAACTGCACACAGCACGTGGGAAGGCGCAGAGGGAAGGAAGTAAACGTGAGGCCAGAACCCTTCATTGTCTGTAAGGCAAGAGGGATTCTTTAAAAAAACCAAATAACTAGACCAGAATGATCGTGAAAGTTAAATAGAAATGTTAATGATTGCTTTCCCTCATTTTGGGGTGTTATGCATTTACTGTACGCAATTGTGTTACCGTTATATAAATATCTACCTTCTAATATGAGCCATTTTGTGATGATTTCCTCATTTACATTCAGTTTCAAAGAGAATGCTGATCACAGCACCTCAGGAGAATATCTTCTATAAAAAACTTACTTTTACTAAAGAATAAGTTTGCTTTAGGGTTTAATGAGATTACAGAAACAGAATCAATAGAAGGGGCATAAAAACGTAAAATCATTCAATACTCATAACTTGCATTTGGAAGGCCTCTTAAAATGTAGTGAACAGTTTAGAAACTGTTGTTACTTAACAGCATCATTTAAATTAGTACAAATATCCACTTACGATCATCTAAGATGAGTTTTACGTATATTCGTTTGACCCTCATCATTAGGCAAATTACCCAAAAACCACTTTAAAGAGAAACTTTTTTTTTTTTTTAAATAGTGAACGTATCCTTAAAAAGGAGACCAAAACTTAACACCACCCTCCAGCTGCAAAGCTTCAGCAAAGCGGGACCTAAAACTTTCCAGTCCCTGGAGGTCAGGTGTCCCATTTCACAGCCAAGAACGTCCTCACATGCGTGACAGTCATCACAACACGGGCACGCTCTGGTTGCCATGAGAACCTTCTATTTTGCATCAGAAACTGCAGCCCCGAGGACGCGATGCTTGCGCCTTTTCACACGTGTCCCTGCAGCCATGCCTCTCCTCTGGGTCATAGCGGCTTCATGGCTCCTTTCCTCCCGCACCGCCCGTTCCCGTGCAGCCCCCGTCCCGGCTGCGCCGCCACCGGCCTGGGAGCGGGCGGCGGGCCCGGAACGGGGCGGGAGCAAACGAGGAGGCGGGGGAGCACGGCCACCCCCTCGGAGCCGGGCGCTGCACCCAGCTCCCATGCATTTTAAAATCTGCAGAAAAAAATAAAATCTAGCCACGCTAAGTCGTCCCAACAGGACGGGAGGGGACTACAGGGGAAGGGAGGGCTGTGATGTCCCCAAATGGGTCGGAAACCTGGGAGCCGGGGCGCGCGGAGATTGACTAAACGAAGGAGGGCTCGGGTTCTGCAGGGAAAGGCTGCAGTCAGGGCCGCGGGCGATGGACGGGACTTGAGGTCTCGCGGGAGTTGGGAGGGTCGGGGCGGGAAGTGGGGAGGGGGGGGCGCGCGCTCGGAGCCTCCCCCCTCCCTTCCTCCCTCACCCCCCGCGGCCGGGGTCGTCGCCCCTCGGGATTCCGAGGCCCCGGGCGCTTCAGACCCGACTCGCCGCGGGGCACGAAGCGGGGCGGCGGGCGTCTCCCGGGCGACGGGCTCCGCACAAGATGGCGGACGAGAAAGAAAAGGAAACCTCAGGTAGGCCGCCCTCGCCGCCGCCGCGACCCGGCCGAGGGAGGCGCCGCGTGGGGCCGGGCCGGGCCGCCCCCCACGGCCTGAGGCTCCCGCCGCGGGACCGGTGACTGCGGAAGGGCCGCCTGCGGGGGACGCCGCCCTCCCGGCTCCCGCCTCCCGCCGCGGGCCCGCCCCGTCCTCGCTCCTCCCTCCCGGCCTCCGCCCCCTTCCTCGGCCTCCCCCTGGGACCGGGCCCGGGGGCTGCGCGGGTTGCGGCCTAGGCGCCGGCGGCGAGGCCCCCATGGCGTCCTTGCCCGCGGCCGCGGGGCCCCGCCTCCAGGACCCCCGCTCGGGCTCTCGGGGCGCTGCCCGGGCTCTGGGTCCCTGGCCGGCCCGGGGGAGACGGTCTGTGCCGCCACGGCCTCCGCCGCCACCATTTTGGCTCCCGGACGGGGACACGGAGGTGAAGGGGGGGGAGGGGGCGGCGCGGACGGCCCCGAGGTCACAGGCCCCTCCGCGCCGCCCGCCGCCGGCCTCCGAAATGTCTGCTGCGCCACCGGCTGGTGTGTCTTTTTACACAAACACACCACACGGGTTGGGTAAAGATGGAGAGTTAACGGGGCGGGGGCGCGCACGAGCGCGGGCGCGGGCATGGCCGCGGCCGTGGGCGCCCCCCCGCGGTGGGAGGGTGAACTGCGGGCTCGTGGCCAAGGGGAGCGGAGGGCTGGTGATTGTGGTGTGTGGAGGGGGAAGCCATGACCCACGTTTATCTGCATGCGGCAGCATGCTTGCAAACCCGATCCTTTTTTTTATTTTTTTATTTTTTATTAAGATATTACATGTGTACATACCAATCCCCACACTTCCCCATTCCCAAACATGCCCCCCTCCTCATACTTTGGAATACTGCGCTGCCATAAAAAAGAAGGAATTCTTTCCGAAACCGGTTTGGCTCAGTGGTAGAGCATCGGTCTGTGGACTTAAAGGTCCCGGGTTCGATTCCCGGGCAAGGGCATGTACCTTGGTTGCAGGCACATCCCAGTAGGGAGTGTGCAAGAGGCAGCTGATTGATGATTCTCTGTCATCAGTGTTTCTAACTCTCTATTCCTCTCTCTTCCTCTCTGTAAAAAATCGAAATATATTTTAAAAAAAAAAAAGAAAAAAAAAGAAGGAATTCTTATCATTTGCAGCGACCTGGATGGAATAAGAGAACATCATGCTGAGTGAAATAAGCCAGTCAATGAAAGAAAAACACCGCATGAGCTTACTCATTTATGGATAATAAAGAACGTTGTAAACTGATGACCAAAAAGATAGATACAGAGGCAGTAAAGCAACAAACAGACTGTCAAATTACAGCCGGGAGGGGAGGGAGATATGGGGGAGATAAGAGATCAACCGAAGGACTTGTATGCATGCATATGAGCACAACCAATGGAGGAAAAACTATGGGGAGGGAGGACATTTTTAAAAAAGTATATTGATTTTTTTTTTTACAGAGAGGAAGGGAAAGAGAGAGTTAGAAACATCGATGAGAGAGAAACATCTATCAGCTGCCTCCTGCACACCTCCCACTGGGGATGTGCCCGAAACCAAGATACATGCCCTTGTCCGGAATCGAACCTGGGACCCTTCAGTCTGCAGGTGGACGCTCTATCCACTGAGCCAAACCGGGTAGGGCGGAAACCCGATCTTTGGTTGCTGTCCTGTTAGTTCCCCAAAACAATAGACTGTTTATATTTGGCAGTTGTCAGACTTATTGCAAAAGTTACATAAAAAAGATAAATATTTTTAGAAAGGAAAAAAACAAAACACCCTCTGCTTTGGTTTCCTTTCTTGAGTGCTTACACCCGCCAAAACACCGTTTTTCTCATCATGGAACTAAGGGTTTCAGGTTGACAACTAACATTTACAAGTGAAAACACCAGTTCTGAGAGTCATTGGTCAAGGCGATCTCATAGGAATCAGCGGAGAAACACGTGAAATTGAGCCAAAGATCTAGCAATTGATAAACAGGCTGTTCTTCTTCTTCTTTTAAAATATATTTTATTGATTTTTTACAGAGAGGAAGGGAGAAACAGAGCTAGAAACGTCGATGAGAGAGAAACATCCACCAGCTGCCTCTTGCACACCCCCCACCTTGGATGCGCCTGCAACTAAGGTACATGCCCTTGACCGGAATCGAACCCAGGACCTTTCAGTCCGCAGACTGATGCTCTACCACTAATCCACACCGGTTTCGGCATTTTTGTTGTTGTTTGTTTTTCTTTTTTAATGGTACCCTTAGCCTGGAAAGTCAGAATTGTTTTATACATGTTACCTTTCCTAAAATGTCCTTGTAATGTTATTGTGCTGCTTCAAAGTATTATATCCCAATACAGATATATATATATATATATATATATATATATATAGTTGATTTTAAACTTCCCAGAAAACCAAATGACTTAATTTTTATTAAGTTCTTATTCAGGCAAGCAGAAAAATTATTAGGAGAAAAATTAAGTAAATGGTGGAGTTAAAAAAAAAAGATTTGATTTAGGTCAGCATGAGAAAATGTGCTGGATTAAGCTGCACATACAATTTTTTTCTTTACCTTTTATAAGAAAGGTAAATAAAAAAGTCAAAAGCTTTCCTGATTTTTTCAGTTTTCAAAAATAGTTTTCTATTTAAAATAAAGTCAGAGGAGGAAGCAAGTCTGTAGAAGAAGGACTATTAAAAAGCCGAGTGTCAGCCGAAACCAGTTTGGCTCAGTGGCAGAGCGTTGGTCTGCGGACTGAAAGGTCCCGGGTTCAATTCTGGTCAAGGGCATGTACCTTAGTTGTGGGCACATCCCCGGTGGGGGTTGTGCAAGAGGCAGCTGGTTGATGTTTCTCTCTCATCAACGTTTCTAGCTCTCTATCCTTCTCTCTTCTTCTCTGTAAAAAAATCAATAAAATATATTAAAAAAAAAAAAAAAAAGCTGAGTGTCAGATGGGGGCAAGATTTATCGTATGATCGCTTAGTAGGTTATGTCTAATCACTGGGGTGTACAGTGTACACCTAAAACTAATATACTAATGTATGTCAACTGTAATTGAAAAATAAAAGATGATTTTGAAAAGAGCTGGATGCCATTCATTCAATTGGTACAGCTATAATGCCTATCAGATTGGAGGATACAAAGGTGAAAAAAGGTCTGTTCTCCCAAAGAGGGTGAGATCCCTAAGGGAAATAAGACATCAGAAATGAAAGGGAACAGTTAGCTGGGCTGAGCAGCCTGGGTGCCAGATGCTGTGCCAGAGGCTGTGCCAGATGCTGTGCCAGATATGTGACATCCCCTCCTGGGCTGTGAGTAGCAGCCAGCGTCCCTGGGAGCTGATCGGAAATGAAGGCTCTCAGTAGCCCTGAGTCAGAGCCTGCATTTTAATAAATCTGCAAGTGCACATTAAAGTGTGAAAAGCACTTTTATGCTGTCTCTCGTTTATTTCTAACAATGTTGTAGTTAGCTAATGCATTTTGAGGAGAATGATGAAATGAAGGTATGTGGTCTGAGGATAGACTAGGGACTCATTGACGATATCTTTGTATGGTCATGGCCATTCCACTCCTATAGTTGATTTTCAGCTCTGAAGATTTAGAAATAACATGTAACCAGTTAATCAGAATTGTCAGGTTTTGGGATTCACTCAAGCTAACTAAAGTCATGAACAGGGAAGTGCAAACCTGCGTAATGATTTATTAAGGTAAGTAGGGTATGTTGATACACTGACCAGAATGCTCATTCTGCAATGTGATATGAAGTTTTGGGGAGGGGGAATTTATATTGCAAAAGTGCTTGATGAGCATGAACTCACACAAAAGAAAGGTTAATTTTGGAGGATATATCCATGAACCTATACGATCTGGAAGGTGGGGCCATTTTCTGAGTGTTTTGCAGCGTGCCCAGCACATGGTAGGAAATCATTAGTTGTTGAATTAGATCATTTGAGTTAATTAATGTGTTTATGTTTTAACCAAAGCATTCCTTGCTGTTTCCCAAAAATCTACTCTATTCCTAAGTATACAAAACAATTTTTAGGGTTCCCCCCTCTGTTACAGGTAAGTTATATGCTTCTATTTCATGTTGCTCAGCAAACATGTTTTTGAGAGCCAAGTATTCACTGGCCTGCCTTTAAAAAGCAATTACAAAAGTTCTCTTTGTAGAAATAATGTTTTAAATAGTTCCTCTATAATCTTAAGGGTTTGTGTGTGTGTTTTTTTTGGTTTATTTTAGTTATTTAAATATATTTTATTGATTTTTTTACAGAGAGGAAGGGTTAAGGATAGAGAGTTAGAAACATCAGTGAGAGAGAAATATCTATCATCTGCCTCCTGCATACCCCCAACTGGGAATGAACCTGCAACCGAGGTACATGCCCTTGATTGGAATCAAACCTGGGACTCTTCAGTCTGCAGGCCGACACTCTATCCACTGAACCAAACCAGTTAGAGCTATTTATTTATTTATTTTTAAAGCTGAAAGGAGGATTAAGTTTTTGAGTAGCCATCATATCCAGCTTTTCTTCAACGTTTAGGGATTAATCTTAAGTATTGAGAATACAGGGGTGGGCAGAAGTAAGTTTACAGTTGTGACATTCTTTTGAGTTAACGCTATTGTAATAATCATAATTTGCATGTTTTTTTCCATATGAATAAGCAAAAACCTACTTTTGCCCACCCCAATATTGGTTAGAAAAAGTTAACTCTATGGCAAGGGCTCTTACGTTCTATTTATAAAATTTTTCTATAAGATTGTGTTTATTGAAGTTGCTAATCTTACTTGTAGTATTTTTGTGCTTTAACATTTTATAATTTAATTTGTCTTAGATTAAAAAATGTTTAAATGGAAAATCAGTACAGATCCTTTGGATCTTTACATCTTATTTTATTGGTTCTGTTGCCTAGAGAATTTTATTATAGGACCGGAAGGATCTTCTGTTTGTAATTAAAATCATTCCTAGGAAACTAATTGCTTAGAAATAAAATTCTAACTTTTGGCAGGC